GCAGGCAGAAGCAGTTAGGGGAAATCAGGCAGGCAGGCAGGCAAGCAGTTAGGAGCAAGCAGTCCTGGATTGTGAGAGGGATTCCAGATTGGAGAGGGTGCAGGCTGGGCTCAGGGACACCCCCCCCAGTACTCGAATTTTGTGCACTGGGCCTCTAGTCCTATGTAATAAAGAACTAATATGCAAATGGCCAGGGGACCTGAGGCCGCGCCCCCCGCCCCAGCTCTGCGGCTGGGGGACTTGAAGCTGGGCCAGGGGAACTGAGGCTGCACCCCCTGCCTGGCGGGGCTTGACGGGGACCTGAGGCCAGGCCGGGGGACCACAGGCTGCACCCTCCACCTGGTGCCAGGCCAGGGGACCTGAGGCTGCACCCCCCACACAGCAGGGCTTGATGGGGGTGGGGCCGGTCGGGTCTGGGTCTTGTGCGATTTCCAGGCACACGCGGGTGGGCAGGGACTTGACTCTGGGTTCCACAGTGCGCCCCAGACTCTGACAGGAGGGAGATCTTCATATGCATTTTACTAATTTTCTTTCATCTCCGACACTTCTATTATAGAGAAAGGGCAAATAGCAATATTAAAATATTTCCTCTAATTAATTCCCTTTTAATGTACACAAATTTCATGCACTGGGCCACTAGTGTTGAATAAGAGTGGTGAGAATGGACATCCTTGTCTTCTTCCTGATCTTAGCAGAAAAGCTTTCAGTTTTTCACCATTGAGTATGTTATTAGCTGAGGATTTATCATATACTAGTGGCCCGGTGCATGAAATTTGTGCATGAGGTGGTGTCCCTCAGCCTGGCCTGTACCCTCTCCAATCTGGGACTCCTCGGGAGATGTCTGACTGCCGGACATCCCTCTCCATTCCAGGACTGCTGGCTCCTAAACACTCGCCTCTAACTGCCCCCCCTGCCGACCTTCTCACCCCCAACTGCCCCCCCCCCCGCCGGCCTGATTGCCCCCAACTGCCCTCACCTCCTGACCTGATCGTCCCTAACCACCTCTGCATCAGCCCTCCACCAAGGCTTTGTGTGGAAGGACATCCAGAAGGTCTCCCGGTCTAATTAGCATATTGCCCTTTTATTAGTATAAGATGTCCTTTATTATGTTGAGGTACTCTTCTTATATTCCTATTTTATTGTTTTAATCATAAATGGATGTTGTATCTTATCAAGTGCTTTTTCTGCATCTATTGATAAGATTATATGATTTTTATCCTTTCTTTTGTTAATGTGGTGTATTATGTTGATTGATTTGGGGGTGTTGAACCATCCTTGTGCCCTTGGAACAAACCCCACTTGGGGATGTTTTATTTTTGGATGTACTGTTGTATTCAGTTTGCTAGTATTATGTTTAGGATCTTTGCATCTGTATTCATCAGAGATATTGGTCTGTAGTTTTCTTTTTGTGTGTTATCTTTGCCAGATTTTGGTATCAGGGTTATATTGGCCTTGTAAAATGTGTTAGGAAGTATTGCCTCTTCTTTAATTTTTTTGGAAGAGTTTGAGAAGAATAAGTTTTAAATCTTTGAAACTTTGGTAGAATTAACTGGTGAAGCCATCTCGTCCTGGACTTCTGTTTTTTGGAAGGTTTTTTATGGTTGTTTCAATTTCCTCACTACTGATCAGTCTATTTAGATTTTCCAATTCTTCATGATTTATTCTAGGAAAGTTATATATTTCTAGGAATGTATCCATTTCTTCTAGGTTATTGAATTTGGTGGCATATAGTCTTTCATAATATTCTAGTATAATCCTTTGTATATCTGTGATGTCTGTGGTGACTTCTCCTTTCTCATTTCTGATTTTGTTTATATGGGTCTTTTCCAATTTTTTCTTAGTGAGTCTAGCCAGGGGTTTGTCAATTTTATTAAACTTTTCAAAGGACTAGCTCTTTGTTTTATTGATTTTTATAGTCTTTTTTGTCTCTATTACATTTAATTCTGTTCTAATTTTTATTATTTCCTTCCTTCTGCTGACTTTGGGTTGCTTTTGTTCTTTTTCTAGTCTAGTTGTGGAATTTCCACTCAGCCAGCTTTCCTGCGGTTCTGGGTGGTAGTTGTTCTGCCATTTAGTTGTAATTTTGATGTGGTTGTGAGAGGCAGAAAGTATAGGTGATTATCTATGCTGCCATCTTGGTTTCCTCTATATATTTTGATCTCATCTTTTATTTCTTCTTTGACCCAGTCCTTTTTTAGTAGTTATGTTGTCTAATATCCACATATTTGTGGGTTTCTTTATTTCCTTTCTGCAGTTGATTTCTAACTTCAAGGCATCATGGTCAAAGAATATGCTTGGTATAATTTCAATCTTGAATTTTTTGATGCTAGTTTTGTGACTAAACATATGGTCTATCCTTGAGAATATTCCATCTGCACTGGATAAGAATGTATAATCTGATGTTCTGGGATGAAAGGTTCTGTAAATGTCATTTATGCCTATTTGGTCTAGTATTTACTTATTGATTTTCTGTTTGGTTGATCTGTCTAGAGTTGTGAATGGTGCATTAAAGTCCCCAACTATTATTGTGATTTGATCTATTTTCCTCTTTAGTTCTGTGAGTAGTTGTTTTATATATTTCCGTGCTCCCTGGTTGGGTGCATATATATTAAGAAGTGTTATGTTTTCTTGATGTATGGTTCTCTTTATCATTATAAAGTGTCCATCTTTGTCTCTTGTTATCTTGAAATCTATTTTGTCAGATATAAGTATGGCTACACCTGATTTTTTGTGGATGTTATTTGCCTGTAGAATCATTTTCCACCCTTTTAGTTTGAATCTACCTTTGTATTTGCAGCTTAGATGTGTCTCTTGTAGGCAGCATATGCTTGGGTTTTGTTTTTTGATCCACTCTGCTACTCCTTGCCTCTTTATTGGTGAAGTCAGACCATTTTCTTTTAGGGTAATTATTGTTGTATGAGGATATCCTATATCCATTTTATCTTGTTTTCTGGTAGCTCTGTGCCTCCATTGGTTCCTTTCCTTTATGTTTCAGTCTGTTGTTTTTGTTTCGTAGTATTACATACATCTTTCCTCTGTTTCCACCTTTTTTAAGCTATATGACCTGATTTGGGGATTTTTGTGTGTGGTCACTGTTAAGTTTATAAAAAATGCAATTGCATATATACTGTAGTTTGTTGTTTTTTTTTTTTTCCTTTTGAATGCATCTGATCTTCATCTTCCTTTGCTGGTTTAGACATTTTACCCCTCATCTTTTATGCTTTTGTTGCCACAAATTATTCCTGTTTATGCTCTAAGTTTTTTTTTGTATAATCTTATCTTTAGTGTTGTAACCTTATGCTCTTTGTTTCAGGTAGAATAACTCCCTTGAGTATTTCCTGCAATGGAGGTTTTCTGGTGATAAAGTCCTCCAGTTTCTGTATGTCTGGGAACATTTTTATTTCTCCTTCATATTTAAAGAATAATTTTTCTGGATATATTATTTGTGGCTGGTAATTTATCTCTTTTAGACATTTGAATATTTATTTCTACTCTCTTCTGGCTTGTAGAGTTTCAGTGGAGAAGTTATATGAAATTATGATGGGTTTTCCTTTGTAGGTCATTTCCTTATTTTCCCTGGCTGCTTTGAGAATTTTTTTCTTTGTCATTAATTTTTGACATAAAACAGCTCTATTTTAAAACAAACAAAAGGAAGAGAAAATTAACAAATAAGCCCCCAGAGATTCTGATTCACTTCTATAGGCAACTGCCCATATCTCACACTGAGAATCATTGTCACTTTCCTGACTATAAATTCCTCCAAGATTTGATCCTGTTTGCATATGACAGCAGGTAATAATAACTGCCTGTCATATAGAATTTTACAATATAAAAACTCTTTCATATATATGGTCTCATTTAATTCCTTAATAATATACCATATAGTAGTTATGAGGAAATGGGCTCAGAAGAGTGAGATATCTTGAGAAAGCTGACAAAGAGAATATGTGGCAAAGTAAAATTCAAACTTAGTTCAGTCTGTCCACAAAATAAATTAATAGTGTCCTTGTACCTATTGGGTCTCTCTGGTTCTCAGTACTTTCCTCCTCCTATGGTCTAGCTTCTGGACTCTCTAGCTTGATTTATGCCTTTAATTAACACATTTGCTTCTCAGGTTGCATTTGTTGATTTAAGAACCTCATCTCACTTGGCTCTGGTTTCTGGTTCAGCATCCTGTATCACACTACTGCCTCCATAAGGCCCGTGTCAGACTATTCCTCCAGATTAGGAGTATCCTTGCTCCTCTCCTCTCCTATCATTTCAAGTCCTCCATCCCTCAAGTTCTCATTAGGTTCATAGTCTCCATTCTCCATGAAGCCTTCTCTGAATAACTCAACTCAGTTTCTCTCCCTTATATGACTCCCTTAAACATTAATACTGCATAAGTGAGCATTTTATCATAAAATGTCTTTTCTAGTAATTATTTCATGGGAATTCCTTGTCTACTCACTAGGTTGTAGGTTCTTTGTTTGTAAAGACCATGTGTTATACATTATTATACCCCTCATAATGTCTGATATTGTGCTACATACTCAAACATATTTATGGATTGAATAATTTAAAATGGGACAAAGTTGATGATAATAAAACATAAAAGGTCTGAAATTCTCCTTAAACATGAGAACCTCCATGGAAATCTTAAGGATTTTAGAAGTTGTCCAGCAATCCTATTGTTTTTTTTCTTCTGCATTCATTTTTTTCTGCATGTCATCTTCACAGACTTTGACATGGAATCCTGCTGCTGAAGCAAAGCCCAAGGAAAGTTAATTTTATGATAAATGAGTGTCATTTTCCAATTTCTCCACGACATTCTTAGAAGCTTGTATTGGGGTCACCTTGGAACTCTTCATTCTGATCTCTAAGCTATCTTGAAACCTTTATCACTTGTTCTCTTCAATTCTATGCTTTTTTTACACATGTAGTGCTTGTCACAATAGGAGACACATAGTAGGTACTCAATAAAAGTTTGTTGGATGATAATTTAATATTTAAATCTTTTGCTATAAGAAAAACTTTTGCTATAGCATAGGAGAGTGACTAAGAGCATACTCTGGAGCCTTACTATCTGGATTCAAGTACCAGCTCTAGTACTTACTAAATCACGTGACTTTAGGAAAGTCACTTTATCATTCTGTGTTTTCAGTTTCCTAATAGATAAAATGGTATTGGTAATACTAATTATATCCCAGGTATTTTGTGTATATTAGCTACAAAAATTTATATAATAAAATTAATGTAATAAATCCAGTGCCTGGAACATACCAAGTATTTGTTATTATTAACATTTTCCTTTTATCTAAAGTCAACTTCTCTGTCGCATTTCACTACATGTGCATTTCTTCCATGTCATACATAATTTATAAAAGTGTGACTAGTGTTTATATATAGGATCTTCTGTGTCCCACGAAGCCTGTCTCTCATTGAGATTTTTCCTCTGTGTGTTGAATCCTTAATATCTGTAATTACTGTAGAATGAACTGATGAAATGCACCCTTATATAGCAGTGTTAATCTGCAGCTGAAAGTTGGGCTATTAGAAAAACAATAAGAAAAAAGTAATAAACTTGAATTGATTTGCATTATTCATGCGTCATCTTTAATGTCTTTAAACAGTTCCACTTATTGGGTTTTGTAAACTCAGTAAGGTTGATGCATTGCCTGGATATTTAGTAATTTTGCAGCTTTAAACTAACTGTTCTCTAAATCTTTCTTTGCAGCTGTTAGTTGAAGCAAGTCTAATACATTATTAGATAGATATTAGACTAAATCATTTTCTGGATTGAAAACCCCCAAAAAGTCCTATATTAAAAACTATATTTTATTTTTTTTGAGTGAGGCATTTGAGTGATAGATACTATATATGTACTCATACTACATTTTCCCTCCCAGTTTTGAAGAGTTAATATGATACATTTCCTATTTTCCTTGTAATGTTCTCAATAAATATGAGTGATCCTATGTGCATAAAACCAAAAAAAGTGTGTTTTAACCACTGTTAACACCTCTTCAGTTACTCTAACAAACCCTGTTGTAGAAATGCTGATGACAAATGATACTGCAGACTGTAACTTCTGGTTTCATGAAGAAAGAATAAAGGGATTTAACCCAATAATTATATCTTACCATTTGAGTATTAAAATTTCTGTTAGAGCCCTAACTGGTTTGGCTCAGTGGATAGAGCGTTGGCCGCAGAATGAAGGGTCCCGGGTTCGATTCTGGTCAAGGGCATGTACCTTGGTTGCAGGTGCATCCCCAGTAGGGGGTGTGCAGGAGGCAGCTGATCAATGTTTCTCTCATCGATGTTTCTAACTCTCTATCCTTCTCCCTTCCTCTCTGTAAAAAATCAATAAAATATATATAAAAAATTTTCTGTTAGAATGGGATTGAGGATGAGACTAGATAATGCAAGTAAATATGGTGTAGCATAGCATAATTGCTAAGCTCATGGTCTTTAGAGCCAGTCTTCCTAAAGGAACCCTGGCTTTACCATTATCTTTGTAGCTTTTGGCAAGTTACTTAATCTCTTTGTGCCTCAGTTTCTACATCTATAAATGAGTTAATAAATTTAAAGCATTTGCAGGAGTACCTGTCAAATGGTAAATATATGATAGTTGGATCTGTTATAACTCATGAGTAATATATGGAGCTTTGTTGATGAGAGTAAGTTATATATAGATAACTTTTTAAAGGAAGCTTCTGGCAAGCTCTGAATTCTCAGTAGGTGCTGAATTAGAATTTACCTATAGGCATAATCTATTTGCTCTGTACCTACGCTATTGGAGAATTTGATTTCTCAATAGAATGGTGGTTAAGATGAGACTGAAGAGATTATTTCTCTCTAGATATTTCGTGTTCACTCTCACTAAACTGTAGTTGTCATATGCTGACGTTAGAATCACATTCTGAAAAATCTCATAGTAGCTGTAAACATGAATGCTAGCATAGTACAGTGGAATAGGCATGAATTTGACATGCAATTCTAACAGTATCATGTACTACGTAATCTGGAACTTTCACCCCATTCCTAGCTACAAAACAGCAGAAATGCTGAGTAAAATTAACTTATTCATTCACCAAATATTATTGAACACTTTTCCTATGTGTCAGGCAGTATTCTAGACACTGTAGAAGTAAACCAAACAGACACAAATTGCTGACCTTGTGGAGTTTCCATTCTGGTGAATAGAACAAATGTAGTCTTCAAAGCATAGTCACGTTTTCAAGACAAGACATTTCCAGGAGCCAAACACAAAAAGGAAAGTGCAAACTAGAATGATATCCATGAGTTAACACTGTGGTTTCCCTGGGTTTTTGGAAGTTTAGATATTAGTAACCAAGGTTTGTGTTTTAACAACCATGCATAGTGTGGGAGTTGAGACTGAGAACTCCACATAAAACTGGGTTTCTCAAAGTGCTTTAAGTGCAGTGAAAGAAAACTCTTCTATTTTTCAGAGGAAGATGGCAAAGGAGTTATCTTTCTCAGGCTGCATTCTTGGCAGAGAAAAAATATCTTTCCTGAAAATTTGTAATCATGGGCCTGCCTTCACATGGCTTTGTAGTTTAAATTCAAAACTTCTGAATATTCCAAAAATGTATAAGCAAAAACAATAACACAAAAGTGCTGGAATTTGCTGCTAGGTGTTTCATGTCAGAAATTCTGCCATCATGTTCAAATTTCAGCCAGCAGTAATAAGGACAGAGAGAGAAGATCAGCAACCCCCCTGTGATGGCTAGAGGTACAGTAGAATTTTGAATCATAAGGTAGAAGCCTAAAGTTGAGAATTAAGGAACAAGATAGATTTGAAATCTAGGTTCCTTTATTTATTTATTTGTTTGCTTGTTTGTTTATTGTCTAAAGTTTTACATATGTTTCTGTTTTCCCCAATTGAACCCCCCCAACCATTCACACTCCATGCAAGCCCCCACCGCCCCAGTGTCTGTGTCCATGGGTTATGCTAATATGCATGCATACAAGTCCTTTGGTTGGTCTCTAACCACCCCTCCCCTACCATTTGTCTCTGGATCTATTCTTGTTCATCAAATTGTGTTGATCATTATATCCCACATATGAGTGAGATCATGTGATATTTCTCTTTCTCCGACTGGCTTATTTCGCTTAGCATAATGTTCTCCAGTTCCATCCATACTGTTGCAAATGGTAAAAGTTCCATCTACAGTATTCCATTGTGTAGATGTACACAGTTTTTGAATCCACTCATCTGCTGATGGGCACTTAGGCTGTTTCCAAATATTAGCTATTGTAAATTGTGCTGCTATGAACATAGGGGTGCATATATCCTTTCTGATTGGTGTTTCTGGTTTCTTGGGATATATTCCTAGAAGTGGGATTACTGGGTCAAATGGGAGTTCCATTTTTAACTTTTTGAGGAAACTCCATACTGTCTTCCACAGTGGCTGCACCAGTCTGCATTCCCACCAGCAGTGCAGGAGGGTTCCTCTTTCTCCACATCCTCAACAGCACTTGTCATGTGTTGATTTGTTGATGATAGCCATTCTGACAGGTGTGAGGTGGTATCTCATTGTTTTGATTTGCATCTCTCAGATGATAAGTGACTTTGAGCATTTTTTCATATATCTCTCAGCTTTCTGTATGTCTTCTTTCAAAAAGTGTCTAGGTCCTTTGCCCATTTTTTGATTGGATCATTCATCTTCCTTTTGTTAAGTTGTATGAGTTCTCTGTAAATTTTGGAGATTAAACTCTTATTGGAAATATCATTGGCAAATATGTTCTCCCATGCAGTGGGCTTTCTTGTTGTTTTGTTGATGGTTTCTCTTGCTGTGCAGAAGCTTTTTATTTTGATGTAGTCCCATTTGTTTATTTTCTCCTTAGTCTCCATTGCCCTAGGAGCTGTGTTAATAAAGATATTGCTATGACATGTGTCTGATATTTTGTTGCCTATGGAGTCTTTTAGGATTTTTATGGTTTCCTGTCTTACATTTTAGTCCTTTAGCCATTTTGAGTTTGTTTTTGTTGAAATCTGTGTTCTTGATGATCATGGAGCCACTATGCTGGCCTTTGATTTCCTACATTGATATAAGAAAGAAATATACTTCTATTTTGATTATATTATTTTTGTTATTGCAGCTGACTGTAATGTTGATCAATACAAATACTGTAAGTAAAACAAAAGCATTTTCAAATAAACAGCATCTTAGAGTTTACATCTAAAAGACCATCACTGAAAGAAGTACTAAGAGATGCATTTCAAGAATAAGAAAATTAAGCTTAGAAGAAAGGCATGAGATGCAAACAGACTTTGAGCAAATAAATTGGTATATATGTGAGTAAATAAAAAGTAGCACTGGTGACATAAAATTTATAATAATTTTGAAATTTGAAAAAGTATGGATTTTAGAGTTAGAGAATAGGCATAAAATTCAAACCTGATGATTTACTTTCTTTGGGACCAAAAACAAAATACTTAAACTTTATGAGCCTCAGTTTCCTTGTTTGCAAATTGGTAACATTAAAATACCCACAAAACACACTTAAATATTGGAAATAAGTTATGTAAGACTCTTGACATGGTACCTAATTCATGCTCTTAAAGTATGACAAATTATAATATGAACAGTTATAGAGACTCAACAAATGTTTGCTAGTAATCATAAATGAAATTAGAGATGGCTGGGTAATGGCCAATTGACTGTCTCCTAAAACATCACATAGGGTAGTATTTCATATGTTTTTGTATTTTGGTTTGAGACCTTGCCTTCAGCCTATTTTCATAGACATCTGGTATTGTCAGCATATTGGAAATGCATCTCTTACTTAGAGGCAGATGCATAATATTGTCTCAAGAGTATATATAAAACTAGAATGTCAGTGTATTTATGAGTGATGAACATCATGATTGTTAACACAGACCAAAATACTTGTTTTTACAGGACTAGAAATTCTCTGCCTTTAGGATAATCTACATGGGAATCCAAATCATGATCAGAGTACCAGTGTATTAAATCACAATAAGAGATAAATTTTACAGAAATTGGAATGTATAGTCTTTTTGACCAACATTATCCTCTCTGTCTAAGCAGATAGTTATGGGAAATCAAGTCAAAATTGTGGGACCTTTAGCAAGTAACTTAATCATGATCCTTGATGAACTTTGAATTAGGTCAAGGTGAGTTAGATTAAATGAATATTTAACAACATAAAACTAAGATAGGCTGATACATCTCAAATAAGGGAAACTTTTTTTTTTTCGTTAATCTTCACCTGAAGATATTTTTTCATTGATTTTTAGAGAAAGCAGAATGGAAAGGGAGAGACAGAGAGAAATATCAGTGTGAGAGAGACACATCGATTGGTTGCCTCCTGCATGCACCCCAATCAGGGCCAGGGAACCTGCAACCGAGGTACATGCCCTTGGCCAGGGAGGTGGGTCTGCCATCTCCTCTCCAGGCCTGCACTTGGCTGGGGAGGCTGCGGGCTGGTCCCCCTGTCCCTGTCCATGTCCGCTCTGGCTCCAGGGGGCCGGCCTGAGCCAGGGTGGGGCGGCTTGCTGGTCCGTCTCTGTCTCTGCTCCAGGCCTCACCTACATGTGCAACCTCCTCCTGTGTGGTAGTGACCCATTATGGCATCCTGGCCTAATTTGCATATTGCCTCTTTATATTTATACTAGTGGCCCGGTGCACGAAATTTGTGCACGGGGGAGGGTATGTTCCTCAGCCTGGCCTGCATCCCTTCCAATTTGGGACCCCTCGAAGGATGTCCTACTGCCAGTTTACAGGGATC